TCCTTTGTCAGTGTCAGCCATGAGGATGAGTCACGGCCATTGCTTGACCAATTTGCTCTCTGTGAAAGCCTGAGAAAATGTTTTTTCTCTCCATGTGACTCTTCCCAGGCTCACTATATATCATCAATCACATTCCTCTGTGTCTCCATAATCTTCTTTATCAGAAAATTTGGAGCACAACTGAGTTACATGTTGTTATAGTACAGGTTTCTCCTACGTCCCAAGTCTTCACTGACCTTGAAAGGCTAGGGCCAAAATGTTGACTGATCTTGCAGCCCTTCCTTTTCTCCAATTTTGATCTGCTAACTTAGGTTGTTAACCCTACAGAAGAGAACCTTATTATTAATCTGCAATATATGCAATTTTGTTTACCCTGTCTGTCTAAATATCAAACATCTTTGGCATACCATGGAACAGGTATTTTCCATCAAGTATTGATATGCTGAACTTTAAGTCCTTATAGAATATGAAGGAAAAATAATTCTATAAAAGTAGAAATAAGCATTAACATATTTTTACAAAGAAATTTAGAAATCTAACCATACACAGAATTGTAACAGAACAAACCTGTGACTTTTTTTTTTTTCTTATTCTTGTGGGTTTTTTTTTTTCAATTTATTACCCTTTAAAAAAAGCCTTTACTTGAGAGACATTATGGCAATAAATGGTATGTCATGACAAGAAGTATATATTTAGAAGACCAGGATGAGAAGCACTCCAAGTGTGACCCCTCTGTTACACATTGCCATCCTTGGTGCAGCCGCCTGGCTCAGGGAAACAGCATATACAGTTAGTCAGGGTGAGAGTCTCACCAGCCAATCGCTAGTCTCAAAAACTTGCTGATGTACCCCAGGATCACTGCCCATCTCATGTGTACAAATGTATGGCTTTGCCCCTGTCATGTTTCCTAGCTTTTCTCCTTGCCCACTCCTCACTGTCCAAGCCTCAAGTTCTCTCTTTCCTTTTATTTGTGTTGTAACTTTTGATATGTAATTCCTCTTTTAAGTTCTTATACTAGGGAGACAATATGATATTTACAAATGTGGGTCTGGTTTATTTCACTTAAAAGTATATCTTCAAATGGCATCCATTTAAATATGAAGGCTTCCAGTTTATCATTCTTTATAGCTGAGTAATACTCCATTACATAAAAATACCATATGTTTTTCAACCATTCTACATGTGACAGGCATCTTGGTTGTTTCCAAGATCTGGCTATCACAAATTGTGCTGCTGTAAACATATATCACTATGATATGATGTTTTAAGTTCCTCTGGGAAAATTCCCGGTAGGGGGATAGCTGGTTTGATTGGGATTTCCAGTCCTAGTTTTTTTAAGGAGTCTCCACACTGAATTCCATAATGGTTGCACCAGTCTGCATTCCCACTGAAAGTAGAGAAGGGTTCCCCTTTCCCCAAGCCTCTTCAACATTTGTTGTTGGTTGATTTCTTTATGATAGCCATTCTTTGTGGGATGAGATGGTATCTCAGTGTTGTTTTAATTTGCATTTCGCGGATGGCTAGTGATGAGGAGCATTTTTTCATATATTTATTCGCTTCTTTAATTTTGTACTCTGAGAAGTGTGTGTCCATCTTGGATGCCAATTTCTTGATTGGGTCTTTAAATTTAAGGGCCCTAATGTTCTTTAGTTCATTATAAATTCTAGAGAGCAGACCTTTGTCTGAGTGCTTATTAGTTAAGATTTTTTCAAAATTTGTGAGTTGTCTGTTCACTTTGTTGATAATTTCTTTTGACATGCAAAAACTACTCAATAAGAGGTGGTCCCAGTTGTTAATTCTTTCAAGTATTTCCCATGTGATTTGATTTTTGTTCATGAACTCTTTGCCTACCCCTATGTCTTCAAGAGATCTTCCTACTTTCTCTTCTAGGAGATATAGTGTTTCTGTTTAATGTTCAGTTCTTTAATGCATTTTGACTTTAGTGCATAGTGATAAACCTGGGTCAAGTTTTAGTTTTCAGTATGTAGAGAGCCAAATTTTCCTGCACCATTTATTAAAGAGACCATCTTTCTTCCAGTAAGCATGTTTGGCCCCTTTTTCGAAGATCAGGTGGCTGAGTGTGATCCTAGAGGTCTCTGCATCTAATAGTCTATTCCATTGATCCTCAGGTCTATTTTGTTGCCAATATCATGCTGATTTCTTTACAGTTGCTTTGTAGTATATTTTCAAATCAGGAATTGTAATGCCTCCTGCTTTGTCTTTGTTGCCCAGGATACCCTTTGCTATTCTAGGTCTTTTTTGGTTCCAAATAAATTTTACAAACAATTTATCTAGGTCTGGGAGGTATATTGGTGGTAGTCTAATAGGGATTGCATTAAATCTATACAACAATTTTGGGAATATGGCCATCTTTACAATGTTGGTTCTTCCTATCCAGGAGTAGGGAATATCTTTCCATTTTCTGAAATCCTCTACAATCTCTTTTTTCAGAGTACTGTAATTTTCCATAAAAAGATCTTTGATTTCTTTAGTTAGATGAATTCCAAGGTATTTCATTTTTCGCAGGGCCATTGTAAAAGGTATTGTTTCTCTAATTTCCCTCTCAGTGTGTTTGTTATCTGTGCAAAGGAATGCTATTGACTTTTGGGTGTTGACTTTGTATCCTGCTATGCTACTGAATTTGTGTACCAATTCTAGTAGCTTCTTAGTGAAGTTTTTTGGGTCTTCCAAATAAAGTGTCATGTCATCTGCAAATAATGATAGTTTCACTTCTTCTTTACCTATTCTTATTCTTTTTATTTCTGTCTCTTGTCTAATGGCTCTAGCTGATGTTTCCAGAACTATATTGAATAGGAGTGGTGATAGAGAACATCCTTGTCTTGTACCTGATTTGAGAGGAAAAAATTTCAATTTTTCCCTATTTAGAATTATATTAGTCATTGGGTTGTCATAGATGGCGTTTATCAGATTGAAGTAGAGGCCTTCTATTCCAATTTTCTGTAGGACTTTGAACATGAATGAGTGTTGGACTTTGTCAAAAGCCTTTTCTGCATCAATGGAGATGATCATGTGGTTTTTAGTTTTCACTCTATTGACGTAGTGTATTACATTGATAGATTTTTGAATATTGAACCATCCTTGCATCCCCAGAATGAATCCTACCTGGTCATAGTTTAGGATCTTGATGATTTGATGCATCTATTTGCTACGATTTTATTGAGGATTTTTGCATCTATGTTAATGAGGGAGAGTGACCTGTAGTTTCTTTCTTACTTGCATCTTTCCCTGGTTTTGTTATCAGTATAATACTTGCCTCCAGGAATGATTTTGGGAGAACTCTTTCCTTTTCAATTTCATTGAAGAGTTTGAGGAGTGTAGAGATTACATCTTCTGTGAATTTCTTGTAGAATTCAGCTGTGAATTTATCAGGACCTGGACTTTTGTTGGCAGGCTCTTTATTACATTTCATATTTCATTGGCTGTTATTGGGTTTTTGAGAGTTGTCATATCTTCTTGATTCAGTTGTGGTAATTTGCACCTTTCTAGGAATCTGTCCATTTCATCTGTGGCTTCTATTCTGTGAGCATAAAGATTCTCAAAGTAGCTCCACCATAGCATCTTGCTGGGCTGCCTGATCTCACTTTTTCTCTTTGTGACCTACTGTCCATACTAAGGGTCCCCAACCATTGGACAATGGACCAGTCCTGGTCAGTGGCCTGTTAGGAATTGGACTGCACAATGGGAGGTGAATTGCAGGTGAACTTCACGTATACTTACAGCCACTCCTCATGATCCCAGCACCGCCTGATCCGCAGCAGCACCAGAGGAGCCTCCTATGAGCTGCACAGCAAGGGATCTGGGTGTGGGTCTTTCCGTTACCCTTCAACCACCCCTTCCTTGGAAAATTGTCTTTCATGAAACTGGCCCCTACTACCAAAAAGGTTGGGGAGTATAGTGCTCTAAAGCACAGTTAGGGACATCTCAGGAAAACAAGAGGCCTTCTGGGTGCCCACTGGGCTCCCACTTCACTTGGGAACAAATGCTCAACTCTTGGCCAAGACTCACAAAGCCCTATATGGCCAGCTTCTGCCTGTCTGACCTCATTTTGAGTGGCTCTGTTTCTCACCCTGCAGGCCAAGCAGCACCGGGGCCCTTCCAGCTTGAAGCACTGTTGTTTTTCTGCCCTGTAGCTGTCCAGTGCTCACCTGCTTCCCTGTGCTCCTTTGAGCTGTGCCGAAATGCCACCTTGCCACCTCTGCAGAAAATGTCCCTCTTCATTCAATCTCCAGGGCTACCTCTTTCCTCTCCACTTATTTGCTAGCACTCTGCTTTGTGCTCCTGTCTTCTTTCTTATCATTGTTGGGGTGTGTTCACTGTTAGGTCAATGCTTTTGTGCCCCTGTAGGCAGCCAGCACCCCAGGAACAGAGGCCCCGTCACTGTGCATCAGCACAGTGCCCAGTGTCCAGCTCATCCACAGCCACTTAGTGGGAAACATTTCTTGGGCAAACAAAAGCATCCATTTTACAGATAGGAAATAAAGCTAATTAACTTGCCTGAGGACAAAGATCTCAGAACAACCACTATAGAAACAGTTTCTGCAGGAGTGGGGCTGGGAAAGAATATTCCACTAGGGTGTGAATAACATCTCTTTAGTAAAGTAATCACATTTATCATTGTAAAGGCTTTCAGTGGCTGTACTTGTCCCTAATCCTTTCTTCCACACACAGCCTGAGCCCCAGTGATAGCTGTCCATGTACTAAGTGCATCCAGCTGGTAGTATGAGGTGGAGAGAATTTGATAACAATGGAAATGCTCAAATGGTTAAAATGTGCTCCTCATGGGGCATTTCTTGAAAGTGCTGCCTCCCCTGCCCTGTGGGAAGCCCTTGTATTTTACCAACTGCAATCCAGTTGGGCCACCTATGGGATTTCCCTGTGGCCAAGTGGATGAGACCACTGTGTCTGCATCTATGATGCCCTGTGTGGCATATGGGGCAGTGCAGTGACTCCTGGCATGCCGGTCCCTGGGCCTCTCTTACCTGCGCACTGCTGCTGAGGCTCCCAGTGCACCTTGACACCCTCTCTCTGGCAGGCCCGGGCATAGGCCAGAAAGGACTCACAGTAACAGTTTCTATGGGTTGGACATTCACACATGTCAGTCACACAGGACCTAGGGAGCCAACAGAGACAAAAGAATATTTAAAACCATCAAATCATCAAATACCTGGAATGTAAGCTGCAGGCAGTCCCAAGTGGTTGGATGGAAACTCTGACTGGAAAGCTGAGATATGGTACAAAGATTGTGTACACAACTCCAGTGCTCGACAGCTCTGAGTGCTGTGTTACTCAGTTTCCTTTTGCTAGAGCAAGACCAGCCAACAAACAGACATGTTCTGTCATCTTCGCTGTCTGCCTGTGGTTATGGAGCCCATGGCCTGCGGCAGGTGAGGAGGAGGATTTGGAGTCCTACTTTGATTTCATTGTACTCATGAGGTGAGATGAGCCGACACATGAGTGGTGACCCTGCAGGAAAGGCAGCACTGCAGGTGTTGTCCACACTCTACTCCCTACCACAGAGTGTGCAGCAATGACAGAAAAATGGCAGATACTGCTACAGTCTGATAGTGACTTGCTTCATGACAACACAAAATCCCATGGCTTTCTGAAAATGCCCAACTAGAATTCACTTTGGCCACATCTTAGAACCTTTGTCTTTTACAGAACACTTCATCTTATTCTTTAGTACATAGGGTAACCAAATCCAAGCAAAGCAAGCATTACAGATGCCTACTTAGACTGAGAGGTGAAGAGGGTTGAATCAAGGTCTCCATAGCTGAAGCCTAGAAAGGATAGAGCAACTTGTAATTGAACTGAATTGTGCTTAAATACAAATTGACACATTTTCAACCATACAGACTACAAAGCTGCCACGATGCCCTCATATTGGTGTATACTGTTATGGTTTATGAAGAGCTTTCCTGTCTGTTTCATCAATGGCTGATAAACAAGGAACAGTGCAGTACATGGTTTGCAAAGGAAAGATTCATTTCACAAATGAACAGGTGGACCCCAAAGTCACACTCACAATCAGCAAAAGAGCCAATCAATCACACTCTCCGCCACTATGACAGCTGTGCTGTCTTTATTGTACCACCCTGCAAGCACCATCCTATCGCCAGGCAAAGTGAACGCCTAGAAATTTTTGGTTGACATTTAAGCAAAAGCCCCCAAAGTTAATAAAATTAAACAGTGCTTATGGCTTTCATGCCCTTACTCAGCAAATTCCTATCTTTACAAAATCGAATGACGAGGCTGAAACACAGAAAAGGCAATGCTGAGCTGACACGCGGTCCTGGCATGGACCTCCAATGGCTGCAGGTCAGCATTTCCTCTGGTGAGGTACACTGGACCCATCTGGCTGTAGAGGATGCCCACTGTGCCCTGGGTAGGAGGTGGCATAGCACCTGCTCTAAATAAGAATGGAACAGGGGAACCACAGGCAGGGCCCACAGTCCTGCAGTGCACCTGTGAAGGTGTCACAACCCAACACACCAGGGTGCAGGCATGGGAAAGAAAAACTCAGAGATGAAGAAGAGCACTGAAAACTAAAGATCCTGTCCCATTTTCCTGACTGACGAATGTTATTTAGACAGAAAAACCAGTTTCTTCTCTTTCTGTAATAATCAAGGCTGCATTTCTTACTACATTTTCTCCTTCATTACAGAAATCCTATGCAGCTGTACTCAAGCAAAGGCACCCAGGTACTAAATGCCCAAGAAAGCCCTTATGTTGGGCACAGCCCCTGTTCTTCCAAAGAAAATCTAAGCAAAGCTTGCCCTTGGGACGCCCTCTAATTGTCTTTCTCAACACCATTTCTTGTGTTGCCTGTTTTCATTTCACAATAACCCACGCCAATGAGCTCCATATTCAGATTCCTGACAGCACATCTGGTTGCCAGGGTGTGACCTCTAACCTCATTGCCACTCACTTCCACCATAGGTTTTGGTACCCATCCTCTTTCCCTGTGTGTGGGCTACTGGGCTGGTACCCATCCTTTTTTCCTGTGTGCAGGGCTCCCCCTGGTGTGGCTGGGATAAAATGGCATCTAATGGGGTTAGTAAAACCAGGGAGCTGCACAAGGAAGGGCTGGTCTTTCTAGGAAAAAATGAGTCCCCCAGTTTGAAAGAATGTCTACTATGATTATGCAAATTTCAGAAAGAGTAAAGAAAATTAAATTAATTTGGGTGAAAGCATGGTTAGTTTGTGTTTCCCTCAGGTTTCCTTGTGTACTCACTGTCTTGTAAAGCTTTTTCTTCAGTTTGAACAAATTATGGACAGCTAAATCCAACTCAGAAGACTTTTGGAGAAACACTGTAACCACACATTGAATCATTGCTGCATCCACCATGCCTCACCGACAGAGTCAGGCAATAATACGCCTGCCCTTTACATTAAGGAAGACTGGAGCTTCTTCAGGACTTGGAACTCATGAGACACAACATTTGAAGAAATGACATTTGTCAAAGTCAATTCTTTACTTGAAAGACTTTGCATATGTTTAAAGTCTTGAAAGATCTGTTTTGTCACAGATGTTAAACTTCTAAGAACAAGTTAACAACGTTGATGCCAAATTGTGCCAGGATGCGTGAGAACATGGGGAAACAGAAGCGTCACATTCTGCTGGCTGAAGGCTGAGACTGTGTCTCTCCAACTGAGTGCACGGCTAGGCTCAGCCTCTTATACTCACTGTCCCTGTGACTGGGCAGGGCATGAGGCAGACCGTGCTAACACCCTTGCAGCAGGCAGGGAACTGAAGCTTGGAGAAGCCAAGGACCTGTGCAGCGTCGCATGGCGTGGGACAGCAGCAGCTCTGCAGTTCCGGGGATTCCACTCAAGTTCTGCTGGTACCCTACACTCACAATAACCACACACAAAGATCTTTCTAGAGAACACTGTGGCCCTATTGATGAGTGGTCCAAACAAAAGGTTTTTATTCTTTAACAGGTAAACTTTATATCTAAGAAAATAAGAATGCATGTAGACAAATATTTTATAAGGATTTGCACCATAATGCAATTTAATTTTAAAAAAGGAAAAAAACCCAAATTGCCCATAATAAGGGCTCACTTAAAAAAATGAACTTCCCCTATGTTTATAGCAGCACAATTTGTGATAGCCAAATCTTGGAAACAACCAAGATGCCCATCACCTGAGGAATGGATGAAAAAGATGTGGTATTTTTATACAATGAAGTATTACTCAGCTATAAAGAATGATAAACTTGAAGCATTTATATTTAAGTGGATGCCACTTGAAGTGAACTAAACCAGACCCACATGTGTAAATATTGTATAGTCTACCTAATATAAGAACTCAAAAGAAGAAATACAAATAGAAAGGTTTAACACAATTAAAAGGAAAACCATAACTTGAGGATTAGACAACAAAGAGAAGGCAAGGAGAAAAGCTAGAAAACATGACAAGGACAAAGTCATACATTTATATGCACAAGATGGGTAAGGCAATGATCCTGAGAACCATCAGCAGGTTTTTGGAACTAACAGTTAATTGGTAGGATTCTCACCCTAACTATATATGCTGATATCTGTGAACTAAGCAACTGCTTCACATTGTGAAAACAGCAATGTGTAATGGTAGAGTCAAGCATGGAATGTCTGTCATTCTAATCTTCTAAATACCTACTGCTTGTCATGACATACCAATTTTTGCCATATTGTCTCTCAAGTAAATTTTTGTTTAAAAAAAGGGTAATAAATGAAAAATAGAGACAAGAAAGAAAATGTCACAGGACTGTCCTTCTACAATGCTGTATATGGTTAGATTTCTAAGTTTCTGTGTAAAAATATGCAATTGTTAATTCATATTTTTAAAAAACTTTTATTTTTAAATTTTTTTTCTTCATATTCTGTAGGGACTTAAAGTTTAACATATCAATACTTGATGGAAAATACTTGTACCATGTTATGCTTAAGATGTTTGATATTCAGACAGAGAGTTAGGTTAAGCTCAACTGCGTATGTTGTAGGATAATAATAAACTTCTCTTCTGGAGAGTAAACAACCTAAGTTTGCAGACCAAAAGTTAGAGAAAAAGAAGGTCTTCAAGGTCAACTAACATTTTGGCCCTAGTCTTTCAAGGTCAGTGAGGACTAGTGACATAGGAGAACCTGTACTGTAACAGCATGTAACTCAGTTGTGTCCCAAATTTTCTGATCAAGGAGATTATCAGGTCACAAAGCAATGTGATTGAGGATGTAGAGTGTGCCTAAGGAGAGTCACATGAAGAGAAAACAGTCTCTCAGGCTTTCACAGAGAGCACATTGGTCAAGCAATGGCCATGACTCATCCACATGACTGACACTGACAAAGGTTCTACAAACAGGATTTCAGGATAAATCCTGAAGGGATCTGACTGACCTCATCAGATACAAAAGCTACATTTCTTGTTATATAGGTCTTGCTTCATCTTGGTCTTAACCATCGAGTAGGAAAGTATAAAAACGAAGTATAAAAAGTAAAGCCATATTAATATGCTGAGCTGTAAAAGGCTCAAGTCAACAATTTCTGACATTGTCAGTCTTACTGAAAACCCACTACTATTACTGACCACTGGATTATATTGAAATATTTTGCTGAATTCATGCATCTACAATATTTAAATGGCAATGGAATACCATTGTCTGACAAAGCTAAACAAAAAAGGGGATATAAATGAATGATCATTTTGTATCTGTGTATTCAAAATAGGATAGATACACAACTACATTCTCTTAATTCAATGAATAAGATTTGTTCTAATAGTGTTTGTGGATGGGATGTCATGTCTGCATCTTGTACAGCAAATAACCACTGAGACAACAATGTGCAATGTATTTATTATTGAAACCGTCCTACTGATCAGTTTTGAAACTGTCTCATTGCTATTTGTTTCTCAATAAAATTATTAAATGTTAAAAAATAAAAAATAAAAAAATAAATGGTTGCTCAGATAAATGTTTGGTTTAATCCTTTTCTGTGTCAGGCATATGAAGAGGCTTGAAATTGCTCTTCTGTGAGTATTCTAACATTTGAAACCCTTCTCTTTAATAACTGCAAAGGAAAAAATGACAAAAGTCATGTAGGCATCATGTCTTTGGTCCTCTCTCAAATT